AGTCTTCTCACACTGTGTTCATACAGGAGAGTTTCCTTGACCCCCTGGTTCTGTTTTCACTGTCGTGACAGTCTGCACTTTGGACTCATTTAGCTTTAACTTTTCACCTGTTAAAAAATCTTTGTAGTAACCTGAATAGATCCTGGAGTGCACACAGCATGAAGGAAGTGTTTGGAGGATGCTCTGGGGAGATGAACGGGCTGGAATGCCAGCTCTGCCCACAGCCTCTCTGCAAATCACCCTGTTAATAAAGAGCCTATTTCAGCTCTGGAAACATGGAGCCTTCTCAGGCTATTACCCAGCATGTGGTAAATTAAACAATCTTGGCCTGATTGCATAATGTCACTTGAAATTTAAGATCCTTTTTCTCCTTAACCCCTAAAATTTACAGGCCATTTTTGTTTAGATTTATTGTAATTACACAATGATTCTGCTCCTTTGAGGCTCTTCTAGGAAGTTTTTTAGCACTCTTTTGGTAGCTAATCTCCAAATTACCAGGGGCAGGAGCACTGCCTGGTCTCCCTGTGGGTTTATCTCAGTGCTAGGGTGCAGAATGGTTTGGAACTGGGGCTGTAGCAGGGGCCAGGCAAGAGAATTGCTGCTGTGGGGGGGGCAAATATTCCTCAGGCTTACTTAGTCATAGCTCTGCTTTCTTTTGGGAAGAGGGATTTGAAAAATCACTGCTTGTAGCTAGGAGGATTTCAAGTCCAGAAGTACCTAGGGCAATACTGAGATTCTTTCTTCCTCTGGACTATATTTAAACAGGTTCTTAACTTTCATTATGACTTTTATACAGTTTAAAGGAGGGATCTAATTTCTTTTTTTTTTGTTTGTTTGTTTGGTTTTTTTTCCTGTAATTTTTTTTTCTGTAGTTTTTTTTTGGTTTTTTTTTTTTGCATGGAAGCAAAGTAGTTCCTTAGAGTTCACATAGCAAACACTCCCTTGGTCAGCACAGCTAACAGGCACACATAAATTCTTCATCTGTGTTTCTTGCTGGTTAATGAACTATGTGGTGTTAATTTAGCAAGATCTACCAGTCCCCATCTTTTAACTCTGGCAGTAGGCTTTAGGAAGTGTTGAGACCTCTCAGGACACTCCTTTGGCACAATACAATGATTCATAGAATTGAGAGATGTTGTGTCATTGAAAAAAAAAGACAGATACTGTAAATTAGCCAGAACATTTGCCTGCCAGTGTGAGGAGGGACTGCACAATATTTTTCCAGCCTGGTTTTCAGTGTTTGATGTATCCTTGTATCTTTGGAGAGAGGCTTCTATATCCCAGTTCCTGTTAGGGTTCTATTGGAAGGTCATGTTCATCCTTTCATCTGACAGTTCCTTCACTGCCAGTTCTCCAACCCTGAGCACAGGCTTTTCTGATTTATTGGTGATTTCTGCTACCCAGTATCCCCCTTGCCTCCTTCCTGGATTGTGAACATGTGACCTGAAAGGGAAAGTTTGGGAGATGGGATTCTTAAGAAAAAAATCCCAATTTTTCATTGTACAGTACTACCTGCCCTTAATCTTAGAACTGTCTGCTATTGCTCTGCAGGGACTCTTGGCTAATTAAAGTTCAGATAATGCTGTCTCAACCCCTGTCCCTGATGCTGTGCTGTTTATTCATGTCAGGTATTCATAAGACAGTTGACATTTTCTTCCTTAAAGATCTCTCAGGTAAATTACAGGCATTTTACTGCCCTGACCTTTTCCTTTACAGGAGGAACTTTTGTTTTCAACATTTATTTTGTGGATATAATGTTGGAAGGGATGTAATTGGAGAGGTGTAGTTGTTTTAGTCTGTATGGTTGGTCTATTACCTGTAATAATCATCTAATACTGGTATTTATACGTGATTATCTCTTACCAAAACTGCTTTAAATTTAAAGAAAAAGCCAGACTGTTTCACTGATTGGTTTGGGTGAATCACCTTTTTCTTTACTTCCCCTGAATACTACATTTTTTGCTTTCCTAACACATTCATTTTGTGCCTGAGTCTCAGGGAGATGGCTTGCTCTATTAATATATTTCTGGAGTTCTCCTCTTACGGGTAGACTTTTATGGCTTTAATGTAGTTTTTGAAAATTCCTCTATTATTGATCTAGATATTATCCCAGCAGGAGTCAAACCCACAAGACAATTGTGTGAGGATAATTTCTTACTACAGAAGCATTTTATTCTGAAAGCCTGCTGTGTGGTGTGTGCTTTGATGGATGACCCACTGTTTAAATGTGTATTAGACATTGGCTTGCTAATTAAATGCCTTAAGGAGTGCCTGGTTCCATTCAGTCTCAGTAAATGCGTGGAATTTCTGTTCTTTTATTTCTTGCTTATGCTCCTAAGTTGAGTTCTTTCTGTTTTCTGACTTAGTAGAGAAGAAGGGGAGTAATGGCAAAAAAAAAAAAAAAAAAATTGCTTTCTACCCTCACTCAAGACTTTTTGCTCAGGGCAGAGGTGAGACAATGAGGGCTCTCAGTTCAGAACTAGGTCTGCCAGATGGGAGAATGAGGAGCAGGAGAAGAGATGGGTTCTGCATTTCAGAAGGAGTGAGAAGAGCACTCACCTGGAACTTGAGAGAGATGAATTTGGATCCCTCTTTGCTCCTGAAGGACCATCTCCCAAGAGGAAGAGGACCATAATTACGAAGCTGTGAGATGCTCTCAGACTTGTTGGTTGAAGTGCCTGTGCTTGAAGCATTTTACTGGGAGAGAGAGTGGAGATCATTCTTAGTTGAAGAGAGGGGATAAAGTTATTCTCCTAGTTTCTGAGTTCTTAAATTGAAAGAGCAGCAAAGGACAGAAACAAGGACTTCTGTTCACCTGCAGGAAATGTTTCCTGACTATAATCCCCACTCCTCTCATTGGAATTTTGTGTGTGTGGAGCAGATAAACATCAGAAACAGTACATTTGCTGCTAAGGCCAAACAAAGAATTTCTTCTACTCAGAAAGATTTGGGCTTTTTGTTCTAAGACAGAGCGATGTGTAGAGGATCATAGAAAGGCTCAGGTTGGAAGGGACTTTTGAAATTTATCTACTCCAATCGCCCTATCTTGATCAAGTTATTCAGAGCCCCATCCAGTCTGACCTTGAACATATCCAAGGCTGGGGTACCCACAGCTCCTCTGATCAGCCTGTGCCAGTGGTCTCACCACCTCACAGCAAAGAATTTCTGCCTTATATCCAATTTAAATTCACCTGTTTCAGTTCAAAACATTGCCCTTGTCCTGTCACTACAGGCCTTGGCAGAAAGTGTCTCTCCATCTTTCTTGTAATCCCTCTTCAAGTACTGAAAAGCAGCAATAAGGTCTTCCTTCTCTTTTCCAGGATGAACAACCCCAAACCTCAGCCTGTCTTCATGCAAAAGGTGTTTTAGCCCTCAGACAATTTTTTTGTTGTTGTTTTGGACCTGCTCTAACAGGTCCATGTCTCTCCTGCATGAGTCAGTTCCCTGCATCTCTTCAGGTGCCACGGATTTGTGGATGTTCAAGTCCCTCAGAGGGTCTCAAACCCGATCTTCTTCTAAGATAGGTGGGACTCCGTTCCTCTGACCCCTGCCTGGAGATTCATGGACTTGAGAGATGTGAGACAAGCAGCTGACAGTGAAAACCGAGACAGAAAAAGTTGTTGGGCACCTCAGCCTCCTCCATGCCACCAGATTCTCTATCTCATCTATCAGACAGGGCATAAAAACATTAATTCATTTAACAAAAGCAAACTAATAGTTTTCTATTAAACACAGTAATTAATACTATCTTTTAAAATTTGAATTTGAGACCAAATTTGAGAAAAATGTTTTTTCTTTGGTAGTGACCTTTGTAGGAATAGACGTGGCCCTTCTTGAGCAGGGGAGTGGACAAGATGACCTTCAGAGGCTCTTTCCAACCTCACCTCCTTCTGTGCAACCTTCAAACCCCAAACAGCTCTGTTTGCTAAGGGAATTGTTATGTTTTCATAGCTGTCATCAGCTGTCTGGAAGCACAACTCATTCTTTCACTGTGACTGCCTTTTGCTTATTTGAAAGAGATGGAGGCAGAACTTTCTTTCCGTGTTCCTGAAGCAAGGCTCATCATGAGATGCATTAGGAGGAGGAATGTCCCTGGTTTTCTTCTGAAAGTGCTTGCAGAACACATCCAAGGCCAAATCATGATGTTATTTTCATCTGTGTCCCTGGACATGTAATTATCTGTGCTGCTCCATCCAGAGAGCTCTCACTGGTGCTTTCAAGTAGAGAAAAGCACCCTGTGTTCATAACAGAGATTTCAGTGGTGTAGGAAAGGAATCTGTGGTGTGAATTATTTTATTCTCATTAATGAAGCTTACTCTAGCCCATGGAGCACAAGTGTGTAGGACAAGATGAATTAAACCTAATAAAAGCAGTTAGAAAATTAGGTAACACAGCTCCCCTCTGATGTCCTTGGGAGGAAAATTCAGCCCAAGCATGGGATTTGGAGATTCCTACTTGGTTTTTGGAGCTGCTCACCTAAGCTCTCAGGGATGGGTGAGAGGGTAATGCTGGCCCTCTGTTCTGTCTGTGAAGCTGCCTTCCTCACCAGCACCATGCTCTTGAGGACAATGCTAACTCCTGTCATCTCCTCCTCCTCCTCCTGCACAGGAGGAAATTGTGATACCTGTTCATCAGGCCTCTGCTGTGCTTTTCTGTGGTTTGATTTGTGTTTTCATGGAATAGATTGCTTTGGGGCTGCACTTGAATATCCCAGACACTCCACTTGAATTTTGTGGATAACTTTTTCAAGTAAAGGCAATGGGTTTCTCAGTTCAGTAAGGGGTGAGAAACAGCCATGTCCCCTCCATCAAATGCTGATTTAAACAGGATTGGTTTCTTTATAGGTTCAGTGCTGCAGGAAACAGAAACTGTCTATTGTAAACACTGGGGATTAGGGAAAAGTTAAAAAAAATAAAAGAAAGGAGAGAAAGGCACATTTTGGAAGGGGGAGGAATTTGTTCTAATCCCTCTGAAATTATTTTCTTGCTGAAAACTGTTAGATCTGGATGGACTAAGCCAACTGAGTTACCAAGACAACCTCTCCTGTCGTGAAGATGACCATGTATCTGTTAATTCAAGAACAACAACCAGGAGTAGGGGCACTGGGCAGCACAAAGGGCCCAGGATGGAGCCCAGAACTGGGGATGGTGTCAGCCAGTCACACAGGGAAGGACGCCTGGAAATGGAGACAGCATTTGCCAACCAGGGATTGGAAGTAAATGATGCTACTGACAGCTCATCGGCTTGGAGCCCTGAGGTATGCTGGATTGTCATTTATTACACACACTGAAAGCTTTTGAAGGGTATTGGGGGCCAAAAAAGGTTACAGGAGAAATGAAGTGAAAAATTGATCAGCACAGCACAAGATAATGGTACTCCTGTGTGCTTGCGTGCATGACCATACACCTCTTTGTGTTTCCCCTTTTTTTCTGGTGTTTTACCCCTTGCTACTAACACTAATTCACAGAAGGGCTTTCCTTGCTTGATTTCTGACTGCAGTCTCTGAACTGAAATTGGAACTTTGGCTACCCAGCAGCATTTACTGACATTTATTAAGGAGCTCTCAGCGGTATCCCAGGGCTTGGTCACTGGCTGTACGTGCAGGGTGTGTGTCCCAGGACAGAGTATGTGGTCACTGGGTCAGATCCTTTTTCCAGGTATTTTCTATGACTTAGACAATGGGAATAATCTGAAAAGCTGGAGGCAGCTGCTGAGGGTGGCCTGTGACCTGCCCAAGTGACCATAATAATGTCCCCATTGATACCAGGCAAACTTTTAGGGAAGGAGAGAACCTGAGTCTGCTTTCCTTTAGTTCTGCACTTTTTTTTGAATCCTCAAGGAAACATTTTGGATTTTAAGGCATTATAAACACCTGATGACTTTGCTTCCCCCTTTTCTATCCTCTCTGCATGATGTGTTGATTTTCATTATCTTACCGCAGGATTAGATTTCTGGAAAAATATCAGCTTGCATCAGACATATTAAAAGAACAGCACAAAGGTCATATCTTCTGCCTGAGTTAAAAGACAGCTGTGGAAATCCATACCTCCATCAGACTGTGAGCAGCAAGGCTTTGAGGGAAGGTTCTGCAGCCAGTTCAAAGCTGGAGGGCAGCTCCTTGCTGCAGATGCTCCAGCCCTAAAGGGTGTCTGGAGCAGCATTTTGGCTTTCTGCACAACCCAATCCCACAAAACACTACACCCCACATGGGAGCTGTGTGTGGCAGCAGCCCTGCCCTCTCTTTGCTGTGTTTCTGACACTGTTTGTCTGCCCTTCTGAGGCTCGTTTCTCCTTTTCCATGTTTGATTTGCTTTGCCACGGTTCACGTGTGCTGCAGTGTCTCCAGTGTCCTCTTGTGTTTCTTTGGAATGCATGGCCCATTTTACTCCTGGTGTCTACATTTTAAAAATGCAAAGAAGAGTTCCAGCATACTGGAGCAGAAATGCCCAAGACACAGTTTATCTCTTACAAGCAGCTTCTCATTCAAAGGTACTGCGTGGATTAATGAAAGACTTTTTATTGCAGGAACTAAATGTTCTGACATGCCAGAAATGCCCAAGTGTTATTATGCTCCACTCAAAGGACCTCTCTTTACAGACAGAAATGGTAATTTTATGCCCCTGCAGTGGAACCACAAGTACCATTTCAAGCCTTGTCCATAATTAGCTGCTCTTTCAGGTTTCTCTGGCAGAAATGGACTTATTTTACTTAGTGAAGTGGATGCTGGCTGTCCTGAATGACTGGGTTAGACGTGCAGTATCAATCAGGATTCTTGGCTTAGCCTCTCAATAACTCTGCTGGGAAGAGGGAAAGAAAGAAATTCAGATGAAGTACCTAAACCCCAATCTTTCCTTGGATTTCAGCTCAAGTGTCTGTATAACCAACACATTCACGAATCACTTGTGGCCCAGCTGGGCTCTGAAAGCAGGGGGGAATTCTGTCAATGACTCCCACAGAAGGAGGATTTGTAGGTGTGTAGCAAACCTGCATGGGGGTGAGTCCTGGATAGCACAGTGCTCTCAGAAAGGGCCAGGCTGTGAGTCTCCAAAGCTTGGTTTCCCATGGAAAGCTTACTGAAGGAGTTTGGCATTTCTCTTTCCCTCTTTGCCTCCATCTCATGCAGTTTTCTCTGCAGTGGGTCTGGCCTCTGCTCTAGTAGCACAATTTGAGCTTTCCTGAAATCCAAATCTTCTCTAGCTGTTCAGTCAAAATGCAGATATCTGACCTTCAGTCTGCCTTACACACTGCCAGAAGGTGATGATATCAGCCCTGCTGGGGCAGGAAGGTGTCTCTTGGATTTTCATTCCTGTGGGTTTGTGCTGATGCACTGGAGTTCACATTTTCCAGCTCAGACATGTAGATGAAAGCCAAGTTTTGCCTCAAGCACGGTTGTCTCCAGACCTTAGCAGCAGTCCTTAAATGTGCCTTGGTTCCATCTCCTCAACAGCAAACACACAGATAAAAGTGTGGAGGGAAATATGAGTCAAGCCCAACCCCATCATGTATTGAATATTATTTCATCAACCAGAGAGAAATAACTTGACTGCTACACAGGAGCACTTAACATTTTTGTAACACCATGCTCTCGCCAGGCAACCTGGCCTGCCTTGCATTTTTGTTTTTAGCAGCCTGCTGTTTATACAGGAAGGTGTTTCTGTAGCCAAGCAAGTCATTTTGTGTGTTGTTCTCCCTTTGACATTACTTCTGCAAGACATGCAACAGCAGGTCTCTAATCTGCACACTCGGACTTTTGTGTTCAAGTCTTAAACACCTCTGAAAATGTGAAAATCTGGAGCTTTGCAAGTCATGGCAGATGAATCTGGGCACTTCAAAAGTAGATTGACAGGAAGTAAACAAAAACTTTGATGTTTATCCGAGGCCCTGTTTGAGACACCCAGACGCTTCTGAAGGGACTTAACACCAGACGTCCCATGGCCCATCATCTGTTCCCTGAACAAAAAGACTCCTGTGCTGGAAAGAAGTGTTACTTGAAATGTGAAAAGAAGATAAATGTTTGAGGAGGAGGGTGACTCAGATGCTGGTGACAGGCCTTAATTCACCTTCTGGCTATTAACTGAAAATCTTTCCCTAGTACAGTGTATACTCATGTTTAAATACAAACCATTGATCACTATAGCAACCCCTTTATCATATGAAGCACATTCTAGCTCTAAGATAAAAAAGCACTGTTGAACAGAAACCCACACACCCACTCAGCAAAAGGTAAGGTGAGCATCCATGGTTTTATCTTGCTTTATCAAGATGGTTTTTGTTTTAAAAGTAGGTAAAAGATTGTGTGTGAATTGGTCCGCACATGTTGTGGTTGTTTATTGAATTTTTATTCTGAATTTATTAGTACCCAAACTGAACAGAAGGAACAGATGCTTCTCTTGGGAGATTTTAGAAGGGTATAAAGAATCAATATGTATTTAATCAGACTGCTTATCCCCATTATCATTGCTTTAGCTGCAGGAAAATTATTGAATTATGGGTTAGCATCTAGAAATGGAATTTCCATTCCACAAGAAATTCTGACGTGGTGATTTCCTCTTCATATTAAACATAGTGCCTAATTTTTTTTTAATTTCTAGCAGAACAAAATATCAAAAAATTTAGCAGGTTTGGCTGAATTGTTTGATTTTAATAATGAAAAAAAAAATCCACCTTGAAAAGCAATTCCAGTGTATGTTCAAAGTAACAGGTTAAGTAGGTCAAGTTGTTTTGCCTCAATATTGACATGAATGAAATGTAAAAATCCCTTGTTTAGTTTTTCTCTATGTAGAATGTTTGCCAAATTAACCATCTCCTGCAAAACACTTAAATATTGATGAAACTTTTTGTTGGAAATGTTTCAACAAGTGCTGCTGCTTACTAGAGCGTATGGGGGCTATTACACAAAATCAGGCAATTAACTATCATTGGCCTTTCCAGAAACAGTTTGGATCCATATTTCACACAGCAACTGCCTATACTTTCAGGCACAAGTGAGGAGAACAATTTATTTTTAATTGGAATTGGAACCATAGAGGCAGTTGAACTCCACTGGAGGTTTTACTCCTTCCTTCCCTTTGCAGGAACACAACGAAGTGAACAGTGTGCCAGCTCACCATTGTGCCCACGAGCCCATCTGCAAATGTGGTGACCTGGATGTCATCTTCACCTACAAATCCTCAAGCCAAAAGCTGACAGCCACTGTCCTGGAGGCCAGGGACATCCCAGACAAGGACCGCAGTGGTGTCAACACCTGGCAGGTGCACCTGGTTCTGATGCCGGGCAAGAAGCAGAGGGGCAAGACCAGTGTGCAGAGAGGACCCATCCCCATCTTCCAGGACAAAATCACCTTCAGCAAGCTGGAACCAGAGGAGCTGAGCAGCCACGCCGTTCGCTTCCGCCTCTACGCCGTGCACAAGGTGGTTGGGGAGAAGATGATGGGGGAGCAGCTGTTCTACCTGAGGGGCATCAGCCAGGAAGGGGAGGTGAAGGTGACACTGCTCTTGGAGCCACGGAGTAACCTGAGTGTAAGTTGGGTGAAGGACAGATGGAGTCCATAAAATTGTTTGGTTTTTGGTGAATATGGAGTTCCTGGAGTCCTTCATTCATTCAGGGCTGTCAGTGTGTGACTGGTGGATCTGACCTGCTGTCACTTAAAAAGTTATCAGGAAGGGGAAGCTCAGGGCATTTCTTCTCTGTGCAAAGCTGTGTTTTATTAACGCAAAATCGTGGGATCTGCACAACTCACCACATGCTGTGCCATTCAGATACCCCAGGTTGGTCTGGGAACCACCAAGGCATAATTAGTCTTAATTCCAATAAGGGCAGTGGTTCTTGTGCACCACTGTGTTGGTACTGCCAGTGCAGAAGATACCTCATTTGGCCCTAGATACCAGCCTGTGGATCTCCACTGTGCAGTTTCCATCTTACCAGAAATGCTTAGTAATGTTCTTCTACGTGACAGATGGAAGTGGAGAGCTGGGTCATGTGAAAAGGAACTGGCTGTGCTGCTTCTTAATTTTCCACGCACATCACAGTTGTATCCAGCTCTGGCTATGCCAATCAATTGGTGTAGATGAGCTCTGTCATGATTCATTGTCTACAAAAGCTCAGAGAGAGGTTGTGCACGTGAGATGAATAAAACATCCTACTTCAGGTGAAGTGGAGAATAGTGAAAGCATTGTGGTAGCAAAGAAAGAAAGTAATGAAATGCACAGTACACGGCCAAAAACTGCCAAACTGAAAAGTGTATTCCATCCAAAAGCCATTATCAAGGAGATGTACAGAGTATTAGTGTAGCAGGATGTTTGCTTATCTCAGAGGCTTTGATTTACACTCGTGATAACACTTCACTCAGAGTTCCTCATCTTTAAAGAGAAAGTTCAGAGATGTGTTTTTGCAAAAGTGACGCTCTGATTCTTCTGGTGCCCCGGCATAATTAATTCTCAGTTATTGTAATTTCTTAGCAGAGATCTTACTGAACAAGGCCACAAGACACAAATTAAGGGGGGGGGGGGGGGAGGGGTGATGAATGTCCTGATGATTCTCTCAGTGCTCTTTCCCTGCAGAGTGCAGATTCTCAGCTGAGTCTGTCAGCAATCTCTCACAGTGATAGCGCTTCCTCAACACAATCCCTGTCGCATGGAGGGGTGCCAGAGCTGCTCGTGGGACTGTCATACAATGCCACTACAGGGAGGCTGGCAGTGGAGATGATCAAAGGCAGCCATTTCAGAAACCTTGCAATTAATAGGCCACCTGGTAAGTACTTTCACTGCTATTAAATAGCACCCTTGAGCCAAAATTTGCTTTTTTATTTTCTTCCTCAAGGTACTCAGCTAGAGCTTTTCTGAGCTGGGTTCCCTTGCAGAGCACCTGATTGAAAATGAAGTATTATTTCAGATGCATGTGCTGATAAATAGTACAGGGCAATTGGAGGGAATCATCTGAAGGCTCAGCTGATGGGACAATAATCCCTAAATATCTTCTTTATTCCTCATACCTTTACAACATCTGATTATGGCAAAAGTGCTGCTGTACCCAAAGCACAGAATTCTCAGCAGATCCATAAAAAAAGTGAATAAAAAACCACTTTCCAAGTGTTTTCCCATTAAAAAAAAACACTTTCCAAGTGTTTGAATGTTACCATGTGACCCACAGAGGCCCTGCCTGGTGCCATTAAGTGTTTCCCAAGGCTACACTTGGTTTAGTCCCCTTGCTGTGCTGCTGAGTGCTGAGTGAGCTGGTGCTCTGGGCCCTTTGGGGACCCTCCTGCTCTGAATCCTCCACTGCTGCACAAGGAAATCTTCTGCAGAAAGAAGATTTGAAGGTTGTTGCAACAGCTGAGTTCCCTTCCTCCAGTCCTAAAGGAAAAAATGGAAATTGCCTAAAGTAGGTTTACTTGGTGCCTGAGCTGCAGTAAGTCCTGGAGAAGGATGGTGCTGGTAATGTCCATGATAGAGATGGAGTCAGCCACAGTTTGCTGCTGGTTGCCTCACTCAGGGGTTGAACAGAGTGCTTCATTCATCTCCTGCTGTCCTTTTGCCTCTTGTCTGAAACCAGCAGCTGATGGCAATGTGAAGCAACCTTTTTGTTTGCTGTCTGTGATGTGTGCCTGCTTGTCAAAGTAGGTAAACCTTTGGCAGCTCCTTGCCTTCTCTGGGTTTGACAGAGTATCTCAAGCTGCAGAAAACTGAAATGGCTTTTGCAAGATGCTCTGCTCTTTGGTTCAGATCTAGCAAAATATTGATGAAATATTTCAGTACATGGATGTGAAAATTTAGGTTTTACACTAAACTATACTGAAGTAGATTACAGAAATAATCTGTCATCAGTCAGTCCCTTGAGAATTAAGGAAATTCTGTGCCACAGTAAAACCCCTGACCCCAGCCTGTGCAGCCCTCACTGTCTTTTATTAGCTGTGACAGGATACCTCTCCACATGGGTTACTTAAAGGCATGTTCTTGTTGGCATGTACATGTTTTAATAAAAGGTTTTAAGTTGGGATCTTTAGTAATTTAGAACAAAGGTAGACTAAGGCAACCATGCCCCAGCAGGAAAGCTCTCCTGTTTATATATGCTGCAGAGTAGATACATCCTAAAGTTTTACTCTCAGAAATTAAATTAAAGTAGTCCCAATATAGGTCCAAATAAGTTTTCAGGCAACTGTAATGCCCACTTCTCTTCCCATAATGGAAATGCCATCCTTTCTGTACCCAGATGATACAGACCAGTGTCAAACCAAGTCTCTCACTGCTAGATCAACTTTTAAGTGAAACACAGAAATCCATAAATTATCAGAGGCAAACTCTGAACCTATCAAAATCTACTTCTTTTATTCCAAGTCACATTGTTGCTTCTGCCTTCTGAATTGTTCTTCTGTGCCTGTAAAGCCCCCAGTAGTGTGGTGAGAAAAAGAAAACCCAGTGAAGCAGAAACTGAAAGAAATTAAAAAGAAGGAAGGAAACCAGCCCTTGTGTCGGTGCTGGAGTAGCACTTCACTGATAACCCCCAGGCACTGCAGAGCAGTTTGTTACTGTCTCAAACATGCTGCTGGCTGAATGAGATGCTCAATAAGTCCTTCACAAAGTGAAGCTAAAACTGCTGAGCCCCTTTCTGGAGGCTGAGCAAAGAGCCCTTGTGTTTTCTTAAATAGGTGCTATTTGAAGTTCTGCTGTTCAAGGCTCAGAGGGAGTGATTTCTTTAAAGTATCATGGAAATTTTGGATATAATAGTGCTGTGGAACACTTAAACAGCCAACCTAAACTGCTATTCAGGGCAGCCATTTATGGTAAGACTGAAGGGGCAGAATTCCTCACCATTCCCAGCCCTGGATACACAGACCCTGTGCAGGACCCATTTGTGGTCCTGTCAGCTTTTAGGAATGGCAAAGGAGTTTTGAACAAAGTCTCCAGCTGTGCTTTTTGCCCACCTTGACCCTCTTCTCTGCCACCTGTAGACCCACACCATGTGTGCTGCCTTCTTGGCATACAGGCACAGGGATTTCTCTGTGTGCAGAACAAGGAACTGGACTGGGCCATTGGTGATTTTAGGTGTTAAAGGCTGCAGAGGCTGGAACAGATGGTTTTATAGAGAAGAAAAGGGAGATGGTGCATGTCTCAGTGTTTCCTGGGCACATCTTCTCCTTCACTTAAACCTTTCAACTGAGTCAGGTAAATGTCAAAGTCATGGGTGCTTATGTGGGTAATAAAAGGGTTAGAAAACAGCTGGGCAGCTTACAGAAACCTAAATTGTGCAGGCAGTGCCTTCTCTTCAGGACACATATGTGGGATTTAAGAATAGTTTGGTCAAAGATAAGTGTCCAGGTATTGTTCTGGGGAACATGCTGAGTTACAGGCCTCAGCTTACATTCCCTGATCACACAAATAGATCCATTATCACTCAGAGCACTTAAGAGCACTCAAGAGTGTGGCTCCAGCACTGGAACGTAAATTATCTGGGTGTGCCAAAAAGCCTCGTGCAGAAAAGCATCCACAGCTTTGTCAGATGTGGACACTGTTGGTATTTTAGTGCTAATGGCTTGTGTGCTGTGCACCTCATTCTCCTTGCTTCTTGTAAAAATCATTACCCTGTGCTAGCATTTTGTAGGAGTTCATATTCTGGTCTGTGGTCTTGTATCTTCTTAGAACAAAATGCAGTGTGTTCATTTAAAGGATGTTTATTTAAAAAAAAAAAAAAACAAACAAGAGAAGGCTACACCACTGGCAGAAATGTCTTTAAAAATTTATAACTGGTTACATACAATGTGCATGGAAGTAATACCTTGGGATCACAGTGATGGACCAGGAATCATTTGAGCTAGCCAGTGCATAAACACAAAGCACAGAAATGTGTCTGCCCATGTGATGCTAAACCTTCATCAGCTGCTCTGCTGGGGGCAGCTCTGTCTCCTCTAATCCAGCCTTCCTTCTGTTCCCTCCTGCATTTCTTTTGGGGTTTATGTCTGTGTGTAATGCAGTGTGAGAAGAACTATTGTGAAGTTATTCCCTTGCCTAAGAAAAGTCCTCCAAGCTTTTTGGCAGCTGCAGAATTAATCACACATAATAATTGCATCCGTGCATGATCATTATTATACCAGCAGCATATTAACCCCATTAAACAAATACAATAGCACTGATGCTGGAAAAGACAGGAGGGGAGAGAACAAGCTATCAGGATTTCTATGGGGAACAGGAGAAATTCTTGAAGTAAAGACTTGTCTCAAAACAAACATCTACCTGAGCCACAGGTAACGATGCCAACAAGTAGAGAAAATATTCCCATAGGAAAATTAGGATCTTTAAATTAGGATCCTATTTGCTCTGGGATCAGAGTGCTTGAAAGCCATTAGTGGATTTTATTTTATCAGCTTATTTTTGAGGGAAGAAAAGTTATTATCCCTGTTACATTCCTGGAGAACAAAGGCACAGGTTAATTCCTTTAATTACTTCAAAGCAGGCCAGGAAGCTGAATAAAATAAATTAACTTTTAACCTGCATATCTTGCTCTGAACAGGGAACTTGCTTGAGCTCCTAAAGCTTTGTGATTCATGTTCCCATGTCATCAGTAATAGAAGAGGGATCTGTGCCAGGGCAAGCTCGGATGGATTCAGTCCTCCAGATATTGGATAACAGAGCAGGAGATGTGCTGGGAAGCTTCTTGCTGCTGACTGCTTGCCAGTCAGTGTCAGTAAGATTGCAGAAAACCACCTCTCTTTCTGCACATTCTTGTTGCCCATCCATGAATGTAGCTGGAATAAGCTTCTAATAAGAACAGCTGAGGAAGCTTTGTTCTGGGTGGAAAAGATGAGGCCAGATGCAAGGAGCCCCAGGAGGATGTCTCAGTAATGAGCAGCTGGGCAGTGAGGTGGAAGAGGAAGTGTGGATGAGTGTAAGATATTGCATGGGGACACAGGTGGAATTCAAACGTGAGCAGGATGGACTCAGAGCCTCTTGGGAGTGAAATATTAGGCTCATGGTAAATAGCTGCAGGAAAATGTCAACTCAAGGGTCACCAATAGTACTGAAAAAACCCCCAAAGTAAAGGTGGACAAAATGGAAAATTGGTGTTTGATTGTAAATGAGCACCGTGTACAGTTCTGTCTTCCTCTGTTCAAACAGAATATGGCAAGGACTGGAAAGATGTGGTGAGGAGTGTTGGAGACAATCAGGGGGAAGAGGAGCAGCTTCCAGCTGAATAGACTGTGCCTCCTACAATGCTCCAACAAAAGGAGGTGGGGGAGGACTCACGGAGGTCTCTAAGTGTCATTGAGAAAGTGAATTAACAACAGAAATTTGCTGTCTTCTCCTGATACAAAACCAAAGGATGGTAAAAGGAAGTGAGAAAGGAGCAGGTTCTGAAGAGGAGACAGCTCTTCACCTGAGCTGTCAAATTCCTCTAGAATTAGAGAATGCCATGGATGCTGGAAGCCTGCTTCAATTCTGTGCAGCACAGGAGAAATCCACAGAGAAAGTTCCACAGAGGACTGTTAAATACAAAGCCTCTGGCTGAGGAAGTTCCGGAATCACAAATCACTGGAGATTTGAGAGTATTTGTGAGAGAACCCGTACATGCCATATTTTCATGGATTTATGTGTGTGTGGTACTGGGTGCTGTTGGGTGGATGGGCTGGCTGGGTACAGCTCTCCCCACCACATGTGGCACCTGGGACTGAGAAGCCTTAGGAGAACAAATGTCACACTCAACACAAGTGAAAAAGGGACTTTCAAGGAGCAACTGTGAGATTTGTGTGGGGGATATTCCATAATAATTAGACATCCTGGGATAGTGTGTGGTTATCCAGTAATGTTTTCAATAGCTTTAGGTTTCTGAAAAGCACAGTCCATTATACAGTTACTGGGTATAGGAATCAAGATCTTTCTGAATCAAAGGACAAAGTGGATGGATGGTGATGCTCTCCCACTCCTATGGCTGTGAACACGAAAATTCTTCCCCTCCCAAAACAGGCAGAAGAGAAAAGCCATTTCTACCAGAGTGGAACCATGCTCATTCCAAATTTCTACCAGAGTGGAACCAGCTCATTCCAATGTTTAGTGGGAATCTGCAGTGGCACTGCTGAGCTGCAGGAGATCTGATCACAGGCTGTGTAATCCAGCCATGCTCGTGGGCACTGCTGCTGCAGGTGACAAAAGCCGGGCTTAAGCATCCTTACATCCTGCTCTCGTGGCTGGGCAGGTGTTTGTCCTCCCTGATCTGCTGGGGTGTGCATCCCTGCTTTCTCTGCTAAAGCCCCAGCCCCCTCTCTGAGGCAGCAGCAATGCACTGATGTGGGAAGGAGTAGAAATGCCCTTTCTAGAGGAGAGCCATGCTGTGCATCCCAAGAGGTGCCTGTGCTCTGCTGTAGCTGTGTCAGCCAGGGCTGGGAGTGCAGGCAGGTGGTGAACCAGCTCTGCAGCTGACACGTGTCCCAGGTGCTGTGAAATGGAGTGGACATGGGCTGTTGAGGCAGCAGAGGAAGATTACTGAAGAACTGAGCTCCTAGGTGCTCCAGGAGAAGCTTTCTGTCCCGAGAGACCTGTGCAGTTGCTTCCAGGGAGCCCTCATCTCCTGCCCCTCTTGCATGTCACTGATGCCAGCATTTCCCTGCCCTGGAACAGTGTTTCCAGGGCCCAGGGCATTCTTTTCTGCTGCATTTTAAATTAAAGGCACTGCTGGTCTGTTCTCTGATGACTCACATGTTGTGAAGGTTGCCAGCTCCCAGCCTCTCCCTTGTGAGAGAGCTGCCAGCCCCGGGAGAGGGAACCTGAGAAGAGGCTTGGTGGAACAGGGGAAGGAAAGCTGGCTTCTCAGCAACGCAGTAGGCAGCTCCCAGCTCTTGTATGATTTATACAGTATAGGCCATAAACTGCCTTAATCCAGACTTTCATGACGTGGGGTTGGGATCAAAAGCTCGGGTCTAATCCTCCTCCCGGCTGTTTCACTGATCCAGCTGCAGTGAGCCGGGCTCAGAGTGTGAATGTTGAGTGTTCTGCCCCACTGCTGGTTGAAAGGGGAGGCAAAGGCAGCACTAATGGACTTGTGGGCCTCGGACTGAGAGCTCACATGGGGCTGCCTGTACAGAGCAGCACAGAGCGGAGCTCACATGGGGCTGCCTGTACAGAGCAGCACAGAGTGGAGCTCACATGGGGCTGCCTGTACAGAGCAGCACAGAGTGGAGCTCTGGGGCTGCTCTGCCATGCAGCGCTGCCGTTCATTATGTAGGCTGGGAGCGTGGGCTTGCCAGCTGGGGGAAATTAAGCTCCAGGCCCAAGGCTTTCTTCTGCTGTGGCTGTTATTAGTCTGGATTGCAGCATGCTGACATGGTTATCCTGCTTTTGGAAATGAGCTGGCTCGCCTGGAGCGCGGGTGGGAAAGTCCGCCCGGCGCTGTGCGGTGCCCTGCAGTCCTCAGACGTGAGGGGTCAGGAGTCTTTGGTTGTTTACTTCCTTTCTAAATATAAATTCAAGCAGGGGGGTTGGATGCTTTTGTATTTGCAGTGCTGTTGCTCACGGGTCAGCTTTACTAATAGTGGTGGTGCTTAGTGTAAGTGAAAGCAGAACGCTCTCGCTCTGGTCCCCGCTCCAAAAACAGGAATGCATAAATTACAGTTGATTATTCCCCTGAGTTGTCATTATCAGTTAGTTCCCTCAGAAGAATCATGACAGAAATGGGTCATTAGAAGAATCCTGGAAAAACTGATTGCCTTTGCAGATGAGCTCTCCAGAGGTGTTTGATGGTTGATGGAGACAGAGCAGTCTGAACGAGGAAAGGTTTGCCCAACCCTCTGGAGTAAGAAGATGCAGCACTAGCCCAAAATGTGTCTGGCGTATTACAGCATTCCTTGATTTAGTGCTTTTCAGTCTGGTATTAAATGCTGAGATGCTGGTATTTTATGTATACGTGGACATCGTGCAGTCCACTCATACCAGAGAGGCAAGATGAGTTCAGAGCAAAAATGCTCTGAATGCAGCAAGAACTTCTCTTCCAAAACCTGCATGGAAAGGAGAGCCTGGTAGATGCCGTGCTAAAATTGGTCTTGGCAAAATTAGACTTTGTTCTTGGATCTTCACAGACTTCTGTGTAACCGTGGGCAAGCTGCAGTCTCAGACACTCCCAGATCTTTAGAGGTCTCACTCTTCCTCACTCAGTGAGACGGGTGCCTAAACAGAAGGTGAGTACTTAGGCGCTTTAAAGAGTGTCAGGCCTAATCTCTTTTCCTTTTGTGCTTGATGGAGGTGGCACAAAAGTAAACACTGTGAAGAGCACAGAGTGCTGAGACACACGGTAATGAGGCCATTACTGAACCTGAGCATGTAATTAGGTGGAAAATGTTTGCCTTCATAATGAATAGATGCTCTTACACATACATTCCTCAGTAAATCGTCAAGTTCATCCTTGCTGTAGCAACACTAATTTCACTGTGTAACTGGGGATGGATTTTCTTTGGCAAAGTCAACAGGAGGGGAGAGCTTTCCATCCCAGAGGACCAGAGTGGATCACAAGAAAAGCTGTGTTTTCTGATGAGATACCCAAAAAGATGCTGCAAAGAGCGCAATGCAGGAAGGCAAAACTACAATCTTAAAATTTAGTTAGTGAAGCAGAATAACAGCTCAGCCTCATACGTACCAACTCTGCAAAGCAAATTTCAGATGCTAAATATATGATCCACACCTACTCTTTTATTTCTGTTCAGGCAAGCTTGATTCGTTTGGCTGGTAAAATACACCCAGTGGAATAAACTTGAGGAGAATTTCCAGCCTGATTTAGTTGTGACTTGCACTGGTTTTGTGCCTGTGTTTTCTTGGGGGTGAATAGGGCTCCTGGTATTAGCTCTGCCTTGAGCACAGTCTCCTTCCAGCCTGATCCAGAGGATACATGCAGAATTCTCACCTACCTTGGTACTGAACAGACGGGGTCTTGGTGCAGAATTATGTAGAAATCTGACATATATTAAAGAAAAAGCCAACTTTTCTGACTTTAACTCATTGGTGGTGTGGTGGTCATTTTTCCTCAAAGCCAGCTGTGTTATTCCTCACTTGTAAAAGCTGAGGCCTCAGTCAGGGATGTGACATCCTGGAGTTTATGGCTGTAAGACTCTCATCCATTCATTGCCTGCAAAATTAACTGGGACATGCTGAAACAGTATCCCATGAGGTGCTTTAGCTGTGGCACTTGCTTTAGTGTTAACACCTAAATCATCTGTGCTGGTATCACTGTCTGCTAGATCTGTGCTGAATTATGGCATCTGCTTTTTGGATTATGAATTGGTTGACTCCTTTGGGCACTGTTCAGATGGATGTGCCTGCAGTTAGGTGTGATGAATCCCACCTGAGCTGCCAGAACTGGTGAAAGTCAGAAGGAAGTATGACAGCAAGGTTTACTGAAAGTAAAATCTAGACCTCAGTGCTTTCCCTGTCTTCTTAGAAAAAGAGATGTAGGCATGTGTGGGACACCTTTCCCTAAAATAGCATAGGAAGGAAATGCTGGGATGGTAGTGAAAAGAAAGAAAAATTTTGAAGTTCAAACAGAGAATTGTACTAATTACCTGCTTGTTTGTATTTAAAAATCAGTCTGGTGGAGTTCTTCCAAAATTTTGAAATCCCCTTCTCAGAAAAAAACAAAAAACCCCCAATGAATACATTTAAAAAATCCAAAAAAACCTTACTTATCTTTATTTCCAGGGAGCTGCCTGCAGTCTAGACCAGCAGCCAGGACTTACACATGAGGAATGCTTCAGTGCACATCGTGGTTTGTCAGTGCCAAGTACAGTGACATCCCTACAAACACTGTAGGAGTTGTGTCTGCTTTCACATTGAGTCAAGCTGGAACAGAGGGTCCTCTCTCGGGCTTTGTGTTCCTGATGAGCCTGAAGTTGTTACAGATTTCAGTCCCTCAACACTGAATATTACAGTGGAAATTAGTGGAAATTACACCTTTCAGTAAAGTGGGGTTTTTTTCCTTCCCAGACACAATCAGGAAATTGAATCAGAGCTTTCCCTTTCTGTGTGACAAGTTGGTCTTTGCTGGCAAGATCCTCTCCATCCCCAGCGTTCTGCTGGGAGCCAGGCTGGCACCCCCAGCTAATGACTGGGCTGAACTTTCCCCACAGTAACTCGATAGCTGTACAGCTGTGCAGGCTCACAATTTGCTCCTTGATTGTCAGCCTCCTGACAGCTTTTTCAGGGGAACAGTTTGAGAGGAGCGGGAAGCCCTGCTTTGGAGACGTGGAAGTGTTTTCACACCTGAAGTGCAATTTCACACCTTGTGTTGCTCAGTAGATAAGTGCGTAAAATAGCACATCAAACGGGAACAGGAGAGGGTAGAAATGCTGCAGACAAGAGATGGAGGCTTGTTATTTATTTCCTATCTTCAGCACACTCTGAAATAATACTGACTTGCAGGGACCCAGGCACAGATTATGAAGAGGTTAGCAGAGGACTTGTCTAGCCAAGCAATCTGTCACTGTCATGTGCAGAGCGAGGTGAAAACTTACACTGAGCTGGGTCTGTGGAGCTCTGGGAGCTCTGACACCACAGTATTAGCAACCATGTAATAGAGGAGAACTGATTAATACAGGAGGCAGCAGAAATTTAAAGAGCAGATTTACAGGAGCACTAAATTGGACCATCCTTTCCTTGTATTTGCTAAGCATGTTTTACTACTTGTATAGACTTAAATTGTAAATAAAATTCAACTTGGGTCCACCAAAAAAGTAATATGAGATTTTGGAAAACTATTATGGGAGATCAAATAATTTCACTGTTTCTGCAGGGTGTTTTTCCCTCTTTTTCAAGACCCTTATTTTTTAGTATCCCAAAAAATAAATAGTGGTGGAGAGGCAAGGGCAGCTGAAGGAAGCCTGGGTAAGTCAGCCCCAATGAAGCTTGATTGTGAGGGAGAGGAAGGGAAGGTGGAGACACCACTTGAAGTGGAGAATCCATGGAGATGCTCATAGCTTTGGTTACACAGGTTTGCTGGGACTGGGTACCTGATATCCCGTTCTTTCCAAGACAGTGATGTAGGTACAAAGTTTGTGGTGATTGGGAATGGGTCTGTGGCCCAGCCTCATCCCCAGTGGGCACAGGTGTGAGCAGCAGGTGAGCAGCAGTGACAGCAATGAGCCATGGAGTGCCCAGGTGTGCTGAGCAAACACCCAAGGGAACAGAGGGCACACAGGTGCAGTGCATCAACATGAGGGGGATAAAAGGTTGGGCTGAAGAACAAGAAAGGGTAGACCCTTGCAGCCTTCTGAAGTGATAGGATGTTACTCTGTATGGGCAGGCTCCTTAAGCCTTCTGATGTGGTATGGTGTTATTCTGTTTGGGGGGAATGCTTGAAACCTTCTGAAATTGTACAGTGAGGCTCTGTGTATCATGGCAGTCTCAACTGTGATATATACTGCAACAGAGTAGGGCTGAAACATGCATCAGTTTTCTTTTCTCCCCAGCTGAATATGAGAAAATCCCAGAGGTGCTTTCATCATCTGCTTCTCATCCCATGGATTTTACCATAAATGCCATCCAGCCCTCATCTGCTGTTCACTGCAGACTAAGTTGCTCTGCTTGGATGGTTTTTGGGGGTGTTTTTTGACTGCTTGGGTCATTCATTTAGCTTCTCACCTGCCCCAAACATGTAATTTCCCTTATTTTTTTGTCTTAGACACCTATGGGAAGCTCTGCCTGCGCAACTCTGTGGGTCAGGAGATGTCCCGCTGCAAGACCTCCCTCCGCCGGGCACAGCCCAACCCTGTCTACAAGGAGACTTTCATCTTCCAGGTCTGTAGGAGCTGGGGGTAGGATGGTCAGGACAAACAGAGATGAGAGATCTCTGAAGCCAGGTCATGGAAATTGTGGTTTATTGCAAAGGGCCTGAGTGCAGGGGCACTGCTGGGAGCTGCTAGTCACAGCTTGGAGCAGGCCTGAGAGAGGGAAAGAGAGTGTCTCAGTTTGGAAAGACAGGAGTCTGCTAAGGAAGGCAGGAGCCTCCCCTGAAATGGAGAATGTAAACCCTCCCCACCCCTCTGAATTGCTATACATTTTAAATTAAGGGGTTCTCAGGTAAGAAATATGGGAGCAGGAAATAACAATTCTTTAATAGGGAAGAAAATAAAAGGATAAAATAAAACAATGTACACTAGAACAACACTGACAGAGTCAGAACTCAACCTGACACCCTGTGGGTCAGGGTGTTGGTAGCAGTGCCATTGGAATTGTGGCTGCAGCCCTCCTGCAGTGTCAGGGGTGGCTCTGCTGGAGCAGAGATCCTGTAGAAAAGGGTGTAGTCATCCTCTGAAAATCCAGTGGAAGAGGCAGCTGCTGTTCCTCTGGGGAATCCAGTGCAGAAGCTGTGCAGTTATTCCAGGATCTCCAGATTATATCCAGGCAGGAATGCTTGGCTCCTCCCTCTGGGCTCACATCTCCCAATGGGATGCTGTAGTTCTTATCAGCCATGTAGTGACATTCAATGGCTGTTATCAGCTGATGTCCCCCTAGAGGGAGGAGTGATTGTGAGCACATAGAGGGAGATAAAGCAAACTGCCCACTGACAAAAGACAGCTGCCATACAGATGGTAATAGAACACATCTTGTCTTGCAAACTGGAACAGTGGTAAAGAGAGAGAAGGCAAGAGTGTGGTAAAGGGGATGAGAAAGTAAAAGAGAGGATCAGAGAGCAAGGCACCTGCTACAATGCAACAATTCTTCTTCTATGTTGAATGTTCTAATTTTCACTAACCAATGTAGTACAATGTGGTGGTGTTTGCAGGGGTCCCAGGATGAGGGAAGAGATGAGAATCTTGACTCCATGTTTCAGAAGGCTGATTTATTATTTTATGATAGATATTATATTAAAAGAAAATGATATATCAAAACTATACTAAAAGAATAGAAGAAAGGATTTCATCAGAAGGCTAGAAAGGAAAGAGATGGAATGATAATAAAATCTTGTAACTGACCAGAGAGTCTGAGACAGCTGGACTGTGATTGACCATTACTTAAAAACAACCACATGAGACCAATCAAAGATGCACCTGTTGCATTCCACAGCAGCAGATAATTATTGTTTACATTTCATTTCTGAAGTCTCTCAGCTTCTCAGGAGAAAAATCCTAGCAAAAGGATTTCTCATAAAATATGTCCGTGACAGTACAATATACAAATCCTATAGCATTTCCAACAGCCTATAATAACCATTACATTATCATTCTCTGTTACATTTTAAACTTTAAAAATGACTCTTTGGACCCCTTCTGCCAAGTTAGTAGGGTCTGCTCTGACCCTTGAGCCTGTCTGCAGGCAGAGGGTGTTGTTTCATCAAAAGGGGATTACCTTCAGCTGGCCACACCATTGTTTTCCATTCAGTAACTGAGGTATCTCAAAGCTTGCTTTCATTCCAATCTCACTTACAGTTTCCATATTCTCAAAGTCTTTTGCCAGCCAATCACATTTATAAGGCTTTCCTGTTTCATCTTCCCCACCACAGGTCGCCCTCTTCCAGCTCTCTGAGGTCACCCTGCTGATCTCCATCTACAGCAGGCGCGGCCTGAAGCGCAAGGAGATGCTGGGCTGGATCTCCCTGGGCCACAGCAGCAGCGGGGAGGAGGAGCAGAGCCACTGGCAGGAGATGAGGGAGGCACAGGGGACACAGGTCTGCAGGTGGCACACGCTGCTGGAGTCCTAGTGGGCACAAAGGGCTGTCTCTCCTTGATCTCTGCCAGCAGAATCCAGCCCTGGCAGGGCACACAGCTTTAATCTGCCCCCCCAGTGGCAGCAGCTGTGGGTATCAAAGATAGCAAGGCCTGGGAAGCAAGTTTAGTTCTTGCCTTACCAGCTTGCCCTGCATTTTCTACATCCACATAACCCTAGTAAGAAGCAGCAGGAATACTTGGAAAGCCCTTTCCTTGGACATTGTCTTGCTCATTTTTCTATAGGTTTAATCACCACAGACTGATTCTGATGTGATGCTGTTTTCTTCTAGGGTAAACTCTCACTTCCCCCTTTTCCCTTATTTGTATTAATGAAGTTTGCAAATATTCTTGCCACGCAGATAGCTCACAGAAAAGCTAACCTGCATGCAGATCACATCCTCTCCCTTTTATTATCGTGTTTCTAAGTCCTAGAAAAAAGCATTTGATACCACTGTAGACTGGATGATATATTTTTCAGGCAGCATGAGAAAGCACTCTTGAATTCTCTGTCAACTTTTAAGTGCCTAGACATTCCTACTGTTCTCCTGTACTAACAATTGATATAAGGACTAAATACCACTGGTATTTTTAATTAGGCACCCTGTGCACCTGTTAGCCTGCATTGACATAGGTTTGCACAAGAGATAACAAGCATCAGTTTTATATTGCATTATACAATGCATGTTTAGATGTTTACTTGAAGTTATGGCTTCTGTCATCACAAATACCAAAAAAAAAGACCAGAACAAACTGCACAGCCACCTTTGTGCCTGAATCACTCCTTTCTGCATTGTTTTGCCCATGTGTTCATGTGATTTTTGGAAGTGAGGTTCATTCAGAAAAGCATTCCTGTGAGCATTACAAGAGAGGGCTTCAGACCTGGGGTTTTTCTGTGATTCAGCAAAGCACTACTCAGTTTGTTGAGGGCTCTTCTTCAAATCTCCTGTAATATCTCCTTGGGATATGGAAAGGGTCTGGTTTTGGCATGCTGAGCAGTAGAGGATGCCAGACCATGTCACCTAAGCTGGGGAAGGAGCTCTCTTGCAGGCCAGGAACAGGATCCAGAGGGGCTGCTGGCTCTGCTGAACTAGCACAGGAGAAAAGAATTGTGCTTCCTGCCTCCAACTGAGAGCAAAGCAAGGAGCAGCCTTGCTGGATGAGGTGATGACACTGTCACGTGGTTCCTTTTCAGACTGCGCTGTCCTTTTCCATTTTAATCTCTTTTCCTGTCTCTGGGAGCTGAAGTCGTGGGGATGATGGATGGAGGATGTGTCTCAGTCTGCTGCTTGGCTAAGTGGTTGTTGTTGCAGTGCTGAGTGTGACACAAAGGAGAATGTTCCTCCTCAGTGCAATGTAGGCAGTGAGCTGCTGAGATCTCCAAATGCTATCAGCTGCCCAATCTCCCATTCCCCACACTCTCTAGGAGAGGACTGTCTTTTCTCCATTCCTGCTGATGACAGCAAGACACAGGAAATATTTTGCTGAAGAGGTTTGTCTGTACCGAGTCACTTCATGGTTTGTTTTTGCCATTTACAGAGACCTGGCACCAAATTCTGCCTCCTCCTGCACCACAGCCACTTCCTTTGCTTCAATGGTGCTGTGCAAATCTAACTAATGCAAATTTTGGCACTGGCTGTTTGACCAAAATCGGTCCTTGGTGCTGGTTTTTGTCACATCCAGGCTAGACAGGCCCTGAGGGCACTCACAGGTTATCACTTGGTGTCACAGAGGCTCTGTCTGGCCAGGGAGGCAGACAGAATAATCTGCACAGAGAAGCACTTCTGCTACAGGTGATGCAAGTTACTCTACAGACCACACTCTTGTATCTTCTTATCACCTGTCTGAGCATCATTTTTCCAGGGAGACTGGTGGGTATCCTATGCAGGAGGGTTTTCCTCCACTGTCTAGATAAGCTGGCATGTCTGCTTTGCACTACTGGGGCTTTGAAACATCAGACAGGGTTTAACCCAAATGCAGCTCATCCAGCAAATGTGTTCTTGACTGCACTGTTAAAGCTGCTGTATTATCAATGCAAGAAAAGTGAACATCTGAGTGGTAACCAGCAGAATAGAATTTCATTTATCATACACTTTTCTGCTGGGGAAAAATAAAAAAGTAGAGGAAACAGCCCAATTCAAAAGGCTGATTCTAGTTGTTTTCCAATGTCTCCATCTTTTTGGTCCTGAACTGCATAAAATGTATATGCAAGTGTTTATAATTAATTTTTATTACCTGGAATGTGTGGGTGTAATAAACTTACTGAGATTTTCTTCAGAACTTCTTGAACCTGCAAAGCCTTGCCTATGCTTCATGATTAGCTAAGGAAAAAGTGTAAGTTCATAATACATTTCAGCAGTGAACTGGAGATAACCCAGATTTATAACAGCATGATTAAAAAAAAAAAAAACCTAATGAAAAAGATAATTTAAAAAAACAATGAAGTACACTGGGTTTGGACTTCCATGCTGTTTTCACATTAAGATCTTTTCTGAAGATATGGCATTAAGGGAATTGAATTTTAATATATAATTTCATTGTAGAGTTTTTGGAGTCAGAGAAAAGCAAGTGAAAATGGCTTACTTAGAGTAAGTCAATACCTAAGCAGGTGTTAAAACTTTGCTGTCCAAGGGAAGCAGGTTGCTCCATCTTTGCTGCCACATTTTACCCTTCTATTTTGTCAAAAATGTTGGAGGGAGGGGACAAGGGCTGTGGCAGGGAGACCATTGGGTTTTTAGAGCTACTGGCAAAACTCTTGGCACATCCACACCCCAAGAAGTGCTTTTGTGGGGTTCTTTATGTTCATGCTAAAGCCATGGAGAAATTTAGGAATCTTGGGATGAACAAGGTGCTGGGGGTGCTCATGTTTGCTAGCTGTATTTTGGGATTTTTATTGCTTTTGTGTTTTATTTTTCCTTCCATTATTGACTGTCTGTGAAATGGAGGCTTTGCAGCAGCTCTGGCATATTCCAAAGCTCCTGTAAATTCTTCCCATTGACAGATTGAATTAGTCATTGCTAATATTGATACAGGCTGGGCTTGTGCTCATGGTCTTTCTTATGTAAACACCACTGCCCTTTTAGTCACTGCTTTAACCCCCTGTTTCCTTTGGAAGTGGCTGTCAAGGCTGAATTTCCAGGAGGTTTTCCATTCCCTGGGAATCCTGACTGTCACTTGACTTGCAGATAGGTTGTAGACCCTGTGCTCCCCTGGCCTTCTCCATGTGGATGCTGATGCTCTCTGCTCCTGTGGGGTTCCAGGTGGGGAGAACAGCTCTGAGAAGGCCATGAGGATTTCAGGGAGCAGGAGAGGAATGGATAACCTGGTCCTGGGATGCTTGGGAATTTACAGGTCTAGATTATAGATGTTTCCTAATGCCCTCATGTTTTCTAAGATAATTTGTTCCTTTTTGACACCACTTTATAGTTTATTTGAATTTTCTTAAAGAAAAAAAAAAAAAAAGAGGCCTGAAAATGTGGAAAGGGATTAACTGCATTGGCCCAGAGTATTATGGGCAAGTGCCCTGGATCCATCTCTGTATCTTGAACAGAGATTGTTCAGCTGATTGCAGCCTGTTCTTTCCTTGTTCTCTCCCCAGCCACCATGCCCCAGTCCTGCCAAGCTCTCTGCTGCTATTTTCTTTTTTCTTTTTTAATGTTTATTGACAACAGAACAGAGTGATCTCACCGTGCTTCTACTCCCCATAATAACGGTGATCTTCAGCTGATGCCCACAGAAATGAGCTCCTTTTTTAGCCCACTGAGCTGCAGCAATCGCTGCTCACTTTGTGAAGTACCTATTTGCAAAGGCTTTATCTGGATGATCTTCCACATCCTTTGATTTGTCTGGGTTTCCTTTTTGCCGGTGTCTTTAATTAGCTGGACCCTGCTGTGGCCTGCCTGTTCCTGTTGCTCTGCCTTGTCTCCTTTCCCTCCAGGGGCAGTGAGGGCTGTGCAGCTCCCGGGTAGGTGGACAATGCTGGGGTGTATTTTTAGCAGCTGCAGATCCCGAGGAGTTATTTGGTGCTTTACACAGCCGACTGATCTTCAGTCATGGATGGCCTTAGAAGTTCCTGGATGCACAGATCCAAAGGCTGCCAGCTGCTATTGATCATTTTCCCAGCATAAAGCTGAAGGTGGCAGCTTGGCAGAGGAGCAGGCTTTTCCTCTGGTGGCATTTCATTTTCCCCTTCAGCTGGAGCTGGCAGTGACCTTGGAGCTGGCGTGCCTGCAGTGCTTGCTTTCCACTCCCATATTTATCATCATTTTTAATCTGTGTGATCATAGCACTTCATCTCTCTGCCTTTTTCTCTCTCATCTCTCGTGCCTTCTGCCCTTCAGCATGAAAACTAGACTGAAAAGCTGAGCAAAGAATATGGCCTGCTCCATCATATTATCTCATCCCGAAATTGTGATGTTCCTGATCAAAACCTTGCCTTCCTGCTCTCTTGTCCACTTGTAGAGTTTGAAGTTTGTTGATTGGGCTGTGACACTTAAATATTTACAGAGTGACACCTGTTCACCTCCATGTGGACCAAGTTAATGGCAGAAGAAAGATCCTGGTTTGTATTTGCTTTCTTCCTTTTCTCATGGGCATTGTGCTCTGCAAAAGGACAACGGAGTCTGCAGGAATTAGTATGCAGGAGCATCCTCTTTCCATTTAAAATGTGCTAAGTGTGATGTTTGCAGCTATGGTTTGAGGGGAAGAAACAAAGCAGCCAGGGTTTGTAGAGAAGCTCACACTTTGAATGAGGCAGGTTTTTCCCTCCAGCATGTGATACCCCAACAAATACATTCTCATCTCCCAGGAAGCAGTGCTGGCTCTGAGCTCATCTGCCTCTGTGATACAAGCAGCCAGAAGATGACAGATCCTAAAGCTTGGAAAGGCATCCAAGATAATTCCACAGAGCTGGTCTGGGTGTTTATTTGGGATCTGGTGAGGATTTAGCAAGCTGTCATGCAAGAAATGAAAACCCCAGGCAGTGGTGGGAAGGTGGTGGTGGGGGAGAGAGGCAGGAGGGGAAGGCTCTTGGTGAGCTTGTGCTGCTTAGAGCTGGGAATTTGCTCACTCCTTACTCCAGAAAGCAGCACAGCCAGGCTGCAGTGGCATCCAGCTTGAGCTGAAACCCAGTTTCTCTGCCTGACTCTTGAGCTCTGCTGAAGGCACACAGATTTTTTTATTCAGTGCAGAGCGAGCTTGTGTCTTCCTGCAGCCTACGCTGTGGGCCCTAAGAAATGAATGTGTAAATATTTTGTCTCTCACAGCAGCCCAAGGTCATCTTTCTGGAACAGCAAACAGGCACAGAATCCAAAGAAGATCAGTCTGTCATATGAGTAAGGTTAGCATCTGCACTTACAAATGACAAAGGCTATTAATCCTCATGCTGTAATCCCCAAGCT